AGGGGGGGTGGGGGGGAACCTGAACCCCAAGATGGAAAGTGGAAAAGGAAAAAAGTTGACCCCCGTGGGGAGCCCCCGGGTATGTCTGCGATGCGCCAAATCCGCGTTCGGTTATTTCTCTGCATTCCTTGGAAAATATTCACCTGACTGTAACTCTGACACCCTCAGACCCCCCCTGTCCCACCCACCCCTCCCTCCCCAGCGACTTTCTACAGCTAAAGCTACAGGTAAAGCACAATTAAAATGCCTAGGAAAAAGAAGGCAAACGTTAAAAAAAAAAAAATGTATTACTAAAAAAAAAGTTTGCCATCTCATGTCTTTGCAGTCAGAGTAATAAAAACAAGCCAAATGTTCCCCAAAAACATTTCAATGAAGGGGTGCGGAAAAAAGACATCCCTTTAATAAAACATTATCAACAAATATCGTACACAAACTACAATGTATAATAATTATTTTTTTTCCCCTCTCGGTCATTTTCGAACCAGACTACAAGGTAAGAAAAAACACTGAAACAAGATACAATGCTTTCAATAATCCGCACAAAGATCAAATCCAAGGGAGAGAATATTTTACAGAATATGATATACATGGAGCAGAAATGGGAGCTTGGAGAAAAACAAAGACCAAACTACAGGGAGTGTCATGTACAGAGACCCCACCCCGCCGCCTCGGCTCGTCCCTTCCTCTCCCGCCAGAAGGAAGGGCCTTCGATGCTTGCCATTAATTTTTATTTTCTTATTACAGAGCGAGCCTACAGAATAGCAAGGTTACATTTTAACAACAAGAATTCCTTAAAAAATATCTCCATCCAGTTCCAAACCATAGATAAGTGAAACCCTGACAAGAGCACATCTCGAAAGAAAAGACAATTCACCTCCCCTCCCCCAATATCCCCAAAGCAAATAAAACCCCCGAAAACCCCCAAACTTAGCTGGAGATCACGGTTTCAAAGTCCCAGGTCAGATTAACCCTTTCTTTCGATGGATTTAAAAAACAAAAAAAATTTTAAAAAATCCATTTTTGCAGTGAACCAGCTGAAGGACTCTGGGGAAGGGAGGGACAGGAGATTCCTTCTTGTACTCGGAGAGGGGGGGACAGACTAACACAGTGCATGCCACAGCCACAGAGAGCAAGATCACCATTCATTCGAGGATGTGATCCTGGAGGGGGTCACCTGCGTTAACAAGTTTGTAACGAGGTGGCGGAGTCTCTTCCCCAAAGCAGATCCTGTTAACTGGAGGAGGAAGCGTTGTGCTGCAAACGAACCAAAAAAAACCCACCCCAAAAATAGAAGGGGGAAAAAAAAAAAAACCCAAAACAAAACAAAACAAAACAAAACAAACCAGGCCTTCTGAACGAAAACCACCATTGTAAACTGTCCAGTTTATTTAAAAAAATGACTACAACAGAGACAACATGAGATTTCATATCTAGACTAGCTTCCTGGTGTCGCACGGCACAAACATACAACAGGTTCGGTTTCTGTCTTTGTTTAAAAGAACAAAGCAAAGAGATCGGAGTTGAGTGCTAGAGGCTTCCATTTGTTTCCAAAAAGAAGTGTCATGTACATATATAAACCTTTCCGCACAAAGAAGGGTCTTGTCATGTCTTGAAATATTTTAAGTTTTGTCCTTCATGTTTTATGGAATAAAAAGTTCAGCCTTTTTATTGCATGAAACTAAACCTGGGGTTTTGGCCCCCGCCACGCATCTCCCTGCCCATACACCTAGCTTCTTCTTCTTCTTCTTCTTGCATAATTCGTTGAGATCCTCCGTACGGCAGCTGACTCTCTTGATCCTGGAGAGGAGGAGGGGGAGGGAAATCACACACTCATCGTCATGCTGGGGGAATACTGGAAGAGAGACAGAGCCAGGGTGAGAAACCAGGCAGGCCAGGCCCCCCAGACACGGCAGGGGGACGCGAAAGGAGGCTGATGACAGCCACACAGCAACCTAATGGGGTCGAATGCATCGGGAGGAGAGGATATGCCGGAGACTGGCATCCATCAGGGCATAATCTGCTCTGTGACTTGCCTTTCCGGGGAGAAAATCAGCAGAACAGCATGGGGTGAGATGCAATTTAAAACAAATAATTAACATGCATGTGTGTATGTGCCGCTAATAGGGGAAGAAGGGGAGGGACGTCTGCGGCCAGGCGCAGCGCCTCGACTTGGCCAGGCCATGGCTGCATCCACACCGGCTCTTCTTCATCCTGCAGGATCCTCTCTCCTCCATCCCGTGGGATCCTCTCCCCTCCATCCCGTGGGATCCTCTCCCTGCCATCCTGCAGGATCTTCTCCCCACCATCCCGTGGGATCCTCTCCCCGCCATCCTGCAGGATCTTCTCCCCGCCATCCCGTGGGATCCTCTCCCCTCCATCCCGCGGTATTCTCTCCCCTCCATCTCGTGGGATCCTCTCCCCTCCATCCCATGTGATCCTCTCCCCACCATCCTGCAGGATCCTCTCTGCTCCATCCCGCAGGATCCTCTCCTTGCCATCCTGTGGGATCCTCTCTTTCCATCCTGTGGGATCCTCTCTGCTCCACCCCGCGGGATCTTCTCCCCTCCCTCGGGACACCCCATCCCACTGAGGACCCAAGCTGGCACCCACCAGCCTATTTCTTCCTCCCCCGTTTTCTGCCCTGAAGCAGCTCAGACTCGGCACAGCCCAGGCCCAAAGCCACCCACCGCCGAGAGCAGCCAGCTCCAAGCCGGGACACCCCGGGGACCGTCCCCCCGTCCCCAGAGAGGCACTCACTCACATTGTCATTTTGGAAGGAATGGAGAAAGTTGCCTCCCAGCTCCCCGTCGTCTCTTGGAGTGCCCGGGGGATTGCTAATGCCACTTATGTTGTTTGGAGAATTCTGCGGGAGATGGGGGGAAGGCGATGAGCAGGTCCCTGCGCCCCCCGAAACGCCACGGGGGCAGGACACAGCCCTGCCTGCCCCGGTCACATCCCCCCAACGTGTCCCCATCCGTGGGGGCCACACCGGCACCCCAGCGCCGGGCTAAGGGGGGCCCATGCACCCGCTCTGCGGCTCCCTTCCTTTT